GGGGAAACATCTTCTGCTACCAAGAAGGTCTTATAGCTCCAGATGCAAAAACATTCCAGGAAAACCTTAATCTTGTTCTCTCTGCAGACCATAACCTCCGGTGGCAGAAGGCACGAGCCCACAGCAGAGGGGAAGTGGGACCACCAAGATGACATGGTCGCTGTGGGACACATTAGCCCTTGTTTCACGGGGATGCAGCGTGCTCTAATCCTTCCCCCAGCCCAGATTCAACTTCCCCTTTGCCTCTCCCCTGAGCTTCTGCGGGGGCAAGGGGCTGTCACCCCTGCAGAAGGTGACAGCGGGCCAGGCTGCAGACGGCCTGGACGAACGCCAAGGACAACCGGTGCCTTTGGTGGCAGGAACATGCCGGCGCAGGGTCAGCCAAGGCTGGGCCCGCTGGGGGAGACCCGGGCCATGGCACTAACCCACTTTCATCCATCCACTGCCGCAGAGACCTCGCTCCATGCACACCTCCTCCCTGCTTGCCCTGCTGCATGCCTCATCTGTCCAGGGGGGCTTGGGGAAACGGGAAAGCCTCAGAAACCCCTCCACTGGCTGTCACATCCAGCAACAGTTTGTCACCAGCGGCACCATCGAGCAGAGAGGACGCAGCGAGAAGGACTAATGCAGCACTGCTTGCAGCACAAACCCAGCCCCTGGGAATCGAAGCACGGCGAGAGCACAGTGCAGCCTCCTGCATTTCCTGGGGATCCCAGGCAGTACGGGCTGGTGAGCAGACAGGTAATCTCCTAAAACCAGGAGTCAATACTTGCTTTAATCTAGAATTAATCAAGAATGGTTTCAGTCCTGAATAACTGTCAGGTGGCCAGCGATGCCAGGAGCACCCAACTCCCAGGGAAGAGCAACGCTCCACCATCCTGCAATCCCACTGCTGCAGAGCCCAGGGGGGCTCAGACCAAGCAGGACCCCCGGCTCCCAGGGACACAGCACCTCCAGGGAAGCGCCTGGCTCCCTGCACAACGGCACCGACAGCTTTTGATTGAGGAGGTGGTGGCAGGGGAGAGCCTTGAGGAGCTACACAAAAGAAACATGACTTTGGAGCAGGTCTGGATACAGATGCCCCTTCTCCCCATGCACTGGCTTACCCACAGCCATCGACCAAGCCAGAAAGCAGGAGCTGCCTGCCTGGGGTGCCCAGCTCCCCCCCTCCAAGCCTTGCAGTGGACCTTGCAGGCTGCCCATCGTTGTGGTGAGCAGAGCGAGGAGCATGGACAAGAGATCAAAGGCAGGACGGTTCCAACAGTCATTAACAGGCCAAAAGAACAGATCTTAGTAAGATCACAGGGGGGTCCACTTCTGCCCCTCAACGGGCCAGAGAATAACATAGAAGAGAAAGAGAGCTCAAAGCACCAAGATCTGGTGCCTGGAGCAAATGACAGGATCTTTCTTGGAGCAGGAGATTGATCTGACTTGTTAACGGAGGACCCAGGACCTAACCCGCCCCACAGGCAGCCCTTAAGGAGGACACTTCTCCCCGCATGGGCTGGCACAGCACAGCAGCAAGAGCTCACCGTGGGACTCGGCCCTCCCTCATGGGACTGTACAAGATGGCGGCCCAGCAGGGAACACTTCCACCCACCAGTGCCTTTTCAGCTACCTGAGGGGAGAGAGGGAGGGAAGACTCGGAGCAGAGAGAGGAGGTGGGAGAGATAGAGCCAGGAAAGCGTCAGACCAGGGTTCCACAGGGAGCAGACCAGAGTAACTCAGCTCAGCCTGCATGTCCTCCTGGGGAATTGCTCGCAGCGTGGACTACACGGGCAGATCCAACCTCTGTGCTCATGAGCTTCTCTGCTTGGGACAGGGTCAGCTGAAACCCAAGTACAAAGGCCAGAGGTGCTCAGGCAGGCCTCTGAATCCAGAAACCCCTCTGCAGAGGTGCAAGGGCAAGATGGGAGGGTTATTTCTAAAGAAAGAATGAAAGAAGGAGCCTCCCAAACACACCTTTGGCTGGCGACGGGCAAAGTCACCACCCGAAAGCACAGTGTCTGCAACTGCAGAAGAATACGCTGCTCGCAGCCGGCTCTGCACATAGGTGAGGGCCCTTCAGCAGAGCTGAGAACAAAATCCAGCTCTTACACAGCTCCAAATCCAACTCGCAGTTCCCACTGCCTTTTGAAATGCCTGCACCAGATCCCTGAGCCCCCACCTCTTAGCTGGAGCTGCAATTTGTGATTTTCAACACTGCCTGGACCTGTCTGCCAGCAACTGATTCCCAGCATTGAAAACCCAGCGCCTGGGAGAGCCACACGTGCAAACCCCTGCTGAGCAAGGGCACGGGGCTGCCAGCTGACTTACAGCTGCACACTCGCTTTCCCACGCACTAGCGACTCTGCATCAGCCCTAAAAAATCTATCCACAATACTCAGACTGGCACGAAGACTCGGCTGTCGGCATTTGCCAGGGTCTAGGTGAAGCGCTGCCGGGATGCGCAGTTGGCTGCCAGCCCCCAGCTCGCTGGCCCCGCTTGGGCATGGAGGCCTCTGCCCCTCTGAACGGCTTCCCCAGGGGGGTCCCAGGGAGCTGCCGCCTGCCCGGCTGGATAGGGTGTGCGGATTTTAGGGCTAGTGCAGGGTCTGAAATCTGTGTAATCATTCTGGACCAACCCAAAATTAAACATTTCCCAGTAGTCCTGGAGAATCAAAAGATTGAAACAGTCATTAGCACAATGTTTCATTTAGTGGAAAGCAAAATATCCCATTTTCACTTGTTTTCCAGCTTACAAAACACAACAAACAAAATAAACTTGTAAACATAATTTTACAGACATCTAAACATCTTTCAAATTAAAAATCAACATTTCATTTTGCAAAAGATGCACCCAAAGGCTTAGGTTTGCCAGGGTGGGGATATCTTATGGGATTGTTTAACCTGAAACAATTCAGAGAACTCATGTCTTGTTTTTCACTCAAAAAAAAAAAAAAATTGACAGAAAAATTTCAAATCTCTCTCCAGCTCACATGGGTCCACACATGCATCTGCATGTTTGAGAGCACATGTGCACACGTGAAAGTGCACATCCCTATGTGCACATATACATGTGCAAGTGAGAGCAAGGTGAGAAAGTAAAGACAAGAGCCAGGTGGGTAAGTCAGGACAGCTCTATTGAAGCTAATACCCATTTACAACAGTGAGAATATTGTTGCCCGGTTTCATCGTGCCACCCCAGCCTTTCGGACCAAGACTTTAACCCTTCTGCTATCTCCAGATCTCCGCTGTGGGAACCCTCTCGCTGTTCGCTATTAGCATGTAACAACCGTTACAAGACGAAAGCAAAATGCCCCCGTCTAACCAAGCATGACGAGGAGTCAGCCCAGTAATGAATGGGCCCTGGGGAGGAGAAAAGCAGCTTTTGTGCTGGGTGATTCGCGGGGGGGGGGGGAAGCTCAGTGCCCAGCCCTGGCGTGGGGACGCTGGGGACACTCAGCTCCTGGGGCAGCACAGGGGACCAAGGCTTCTGCACAACGAGGGATGGGGTCAGACGGGACCGTGGCCTCGTGCATCACGTGCATTACTGCTGCTTCTGGTGCAGGGACAGCGCCCACGGCCCCCCTGTCGCAGGCTACACCAGCACCAAAGAGAGGAGAGCAGGGAGAAAATGGGCAATTGTGCCTTTTTCAGAAGTAGCACGAATTGGCCCCTGGTAGGAAGGATTTGGGAGTATCTGTGGGAAAGGTCTTCTCCTTCCTGTAAGGAACAGATGGCATTTCTCTCTCACTGCGTTTGCTCCCAAGCATCTCCAAAGCACACGAAGGGACAAGTCGCACACCCCAGGCAGCCTGTCTGACCCCAAAGGGGTCCCGGACTGCTCACGCCGGGGAAGCATGTGTTGGTTTTGCGGCAATTTCAGTGTTTCTATGGGGCTGGGATCAGAGAGGGAGCTGCTGTCAGAAGAGCAGATCCAGCCTGAGCTGGTGGAAGGGATTTGCTGTACCAACATCTGCACTCGGAGAGGCAACAGTCGCATTTTCTCAGACGCACGGACCAGTAACCTTCCTCCAGACCTGGGTGGGCAGAAGCACATCCCCTATCAGGGCAAGTTCTTCGGCCGCATTTCCACCTTGCTCCAAGAGCAGAGGGTCAGAGAAACATTATCCCCTGGGTTTACCCGTTTTGATTCATCCCTAACATGAACTAAGGGAAACAGGTTCAGC